CGATTAAATCTAGAGCTAATTAAAACGTTCTACTTTCTTATCATTCAACTTTTCATTATAAATGCTGTCATAAAGGCGAACTATTGTGTCCTAGTTCAATGAACATATTCGGGTAGTAACCTTCGTCGCTGCCCGGTTTTTGAAACAGCCGCTGGCAGCTGAACTCACAGTATTATAGTCCATAACACTGGGAAATCGTGTGATAACACTAGTGACAGTTTCAAAATTGAAAATTCGAAAAACTGGTAGAACACCAACAAGCCTTTGAGCTCTAATAGAAGCTCTCACACGGCCTAAAAAATCGCATGCGGTAGGCATTTTAATGATTTGACGCTTACTTATGATCGATGATATCATTTATTCAGCTACGTAAATTCTAAGATGACACCAAATCTGCCAAGCATATTGGAAAATCATAATTGCACGGTACATCGTATAAAGCGTGTTTGATTAAAACTACAATTTTCTTCACTTTTACAAGCTTACCTGTTTCAAATTTAACCTTCATTTCCGCTGAAGGGGATAGGGCTATGGACCGTTCGAGTACAATTCTCTAGCAAATAGAATTGAAAAAAGTGATTGGTGCCCTACAGTCAACTATTGAACAAATGAAAACTTCTTCCGTTACTTTGATCTTTGGGTCGACGAGAAACGATATATCATCAGGAGCAACAAAAAACAGTTACGTGAGTCAAGACCAAATTCTTTAAGAGGTATGCAAATTATCTTAAGGTTCATACATCGTCAAGGCTCGTCGCACTGAACTCAGCTTTTTCGACTATGAGCTACGATGTTAATATTTACCAAAACGCAGAAATCAATTTGATGGTGTGCGGCTGGTTGCTGACTACGCCGAAAAGGACCAGCGTTTAAAGACCGTGGGGGTTTACCGACGAAGCCGTATGGTATTACTTTATGGAATCAACTACACTTTTACAATGTCTTGGAGACAATCGATAGATTCCTTTAAATCTTAGCATAAGCGAGGTTAATATTCTATGGACCGCCTCTCTACGGTTCTTTTGGGGGACTGTAGGAGTGCGAGTTTGCTCAAGATTTCCCCGAGTACAAGCACTCCTGCTACTCCACAGATATTGTCTGGTCACGCGTATGCGGAGCATACCGTTCTTTACACGAGCTTTCTCAAATCCTTTGATGAATACAGTATTCTCATCACAGGCTTACACATAGTGTCGACTATGAAGTAATGGTGCGTTTAGCGTGAGTGTGTGTATCGCGCTTTATTTACTTGGAGTCTAGCTGACTAGATAGATCCATTAATTCATATCATCGCTGTTCAAACATTATTAAGATCACTTTAAGTTATCATACGGCGTAAAGTCATATGGGTCGGAAACAATAAACCCCAAGGTAAAGACTTCGGCATGGATACCTTGATTGAATACATTGAGGTTTACTTTCGAATCACCATCTTCATTAAGACGAATTTTGATGGCACCGTCAAGCTCGACAAAATATCGTCATCAAGAATATTTCTTGAATATTGTGGAATAGGAGATATCGAACTTCAAATTTAGGGATAACGCTCGTGCGTCGGCCTGCCAAAGTATCAACTACCCGGTATGGTATTGATAATACAAACTAATTGATCTTCCTTATATCATAACATCCCTGATTGATACGAATGTTGCTGACGAATACAAACAGCGAATTTTTCTTATAGCGTCAAGTTTTTAATTTGTAGAACAGGCAATAGTAGCATGCGGTTTGTACTTTTTAGGCAAACAGCATGGCACCGATGGCTGGAGTATCGGACGAACAAATTAATTTGAAACACTTTCCCCCGGGGTGGGAGGGAAAATTCCCCCCGGGGGGGGGGGGGTTTTTTTCACATTTCTTTTTGCGTCTGTGGTCGTTTGACGGACCACAAACTGCCTCTAGTTGTAACGAAGCACCCGCTTCTTCTGCAACAGTATAATCTATCTGCACTGATGAAGGTGTAAATGTAGAGAAGTGATCAATTTATAGTGATAAAGAACGGATCGTGTGTGTTCGGCTTAGTCCGGATCAACTTTGGTTGGTAGCGATGTCGCAATTGGTATTTCTCCACCGTTGGTTGCATCAGGATATTGATAGTATCGGATGATCTGACTCGTGGGGATGTACAATCAAGGACCGATAAGGTTAAGGCGATGCGAAATCCGAGATCGCGATCCATTATTCGTGATCGGCAACCTACGATCGAAGCCATACATCACAGATTGTGGAGTATGTTCGATTGACGTAATCAATGATATGAAATCGCTGAACAGTCACATTAATATATAATTTGTACGAGTTGGAGGAGGCATTTCAATTATAGAGGGTGTAGCGGCATTTTCATGTTCAATGCCGGAGTCCAATCACGATCGCTAACACGATCGTAATTTACCCTGAAGATCATCCCACACCGTGATCCGTGATCATGCACCGATCGTGATTCATGCGGGAGTTTGGCTAAGAGAGGCCACAAAGTGCAATGGGTCGATTTGAGAGAGGAATAACATTCGCGCAGCAGAAACTGAGATAAAAGATACACATGGCGACCGTCGTACGTCTTGGTTGATCAACATTATCAGTGATCAATTTAATTATTCAGTCACGAGCTGAATTATCTTCGAGTAGGGTTTTCTTGGCCTCCCGATGTTTCAAAAGTCCGTCTCGTACTCCTCGAGTTTCGCCGCTGTATCGTTTGGCCAGAATCGTCGAGGACACTCCAGAGTCCCCCAACTACGACCGGACGCAGTGGAATTGTATTCAACAAATAATTAAATCTCCTAATTTAATCAATCTCTCTTGATCTCACTAGACTACATCCGAATTCAAACTCCGAATTAAGATCGATGTTCAGCACCAATTGGGCACGTCTAGCAGTGATTAATGGTACAATTGGTTGATGTAACGGGCTGCAGTGATCAGTACGTGGAGCGGTGCCGATCATGTTCTCGAAAGTTAATATGCCTTCAGTATTTACTCAGAATGCCACCACGAAGACATTGGAGAATATTATAGATAAGGATGAACTCGCATTATTCAATTATTGGTGTCAATGACATACAACGTAATTACACCTATACATAACCGGTACGTAACACAAGCGTCGTAGCTGCTCACTGCCAGGTCACACATCCCGGGTTACATCTTGCTGTGGATAGACCCCTCGTTAACTCAAAAGTTTGGGTAAAAATCAGTTAAGTACCCTCTCCGATAGTCGGGCGTCCGAGAGCTAGTGGAGTCGGGATCACATTATCGACTTTGTGAACACCACGACATCACATAAACGGGTGCGACTCATCCGTGCCAATGATATAGAGTGCAGAAGAAGTATGATATTATCTCTCCGTAGAATGGAAAAACGATACTGTAACTAACTTATTGAAGTCATCTGATAATCTGATAATACATGTTCTATATAGAGAAGGTTTGAGGTATATTTGGGTATGCGAACGACCCACTATATCCAGAATACCTTCTGCACCTAACTCGAAATATGTCAAGTTTGAAGATATATGCTACTCGCTCACCACTTGTTGCGCGTGGCTAGCACTGATTGGTGGTTTCATTGGCTAATGACATGATCAGCGCTAGTCAAATAGCAGTGTGTTACTACCTTCGAAGTATTATAACGTCAAAGATAACAAATTTATCAACACCCGCAACGGCATTATTCGGATATAAACTTGCTTGATGTTGATGCCATGTAACGAGATCACTTCGTTACATTGTAAACGACGTCGACTTGAAACGTCCGGCCTCGACGTCATATCATATCCGCATTGAGGCATATAGCGCCTAAACTAGTTACGATGTAAGCGGACATACCAATAACTGTGAAGGCCAGTGCAAATGAAAGTTCACGTCCACTATGTGTAGGAAGCGTTTAATTCAACAGACTCGGTATTTAAATAGAAATAGAGCACAGTAGTACAAATAATCTTATCAATATCGATTACCTTAAGCTTCGTTGGATATCATGTTAGTACAAATATGTGACGTAAGTAATGGTGTCACCTTTTTGCGTTTTTTTTTCTTATTCAGATGAATGTTGCGGCATATTCGATATCAACCTAGGTGCATTGTCATTGTTTGTTGCCCAAATATTACTTACCAAAGTTATATTATGGAAACTTATCAAATTTACTTTCGGGTAAAATTCACGCATACAAAATAACCTAATATGACGGAATGGCTTCCACGTTCGAAAAAACACACTAGAGTCAGCAACGTTTACGACGATATCGATCTAGGTACACCTTGTGTAAACGCAAGCTTACAGATATTAAATGTAGTATTCTTACCTAATGGGTAGGACTAAAAACTACACCACTTGAGACATTTTATATTTTGTGCCGTAGAAGCATAGTGTGCGCGAAACTGAGTAGCCTACTTCAAACGCAATCCAAGAAAAACACATATGATGGACAGAACGCCAAAAAGATGCGCCTACAATCAACATTCATTCATCAATTGCACCCACGGCAGTGTATGCCTATGTGCATCTACTTCCTCTTTCTCTCTCTACCTGTCGACCGATTGACATGTGCTATCATATGATATGGAACGAAGTGTGACTTTGTCATCGTTTGCTTGAACACGAGGTGGCCGACCCGACCCTCCACCTCACACTCTATGCTTCTTCTGCAAGCAAGCACAGTCGTACCATGCGTGATGCATCATCGTCCATGTTCAAGGTCCTCCTTGCAACGGTCACCGAAACCGAAACGACAGCCGCAACGAATACATCAACAGACACTGCCATCGAGAGTGCAGGAATGCTCGCGGATGTTGCAGGGAGAAAGGGAATCGAGGACAAAGTACTACAGACTGAGCGAAAGAAAGGTTTTCAAGTGTATGTATTAGCAATCACGATTATCGTCGCTAAGTGAGCAGCACCAAGTACTCCTCGATATACATGGGGGACGACGACGACACTGCCGCGTTCGCAACAGAACCTCTCGCGGCCCACAACAGCGCCTTTGCAGCTTCTAAACTCCAAGCACCTACAGGAAATAAGTGACAACGACGGCGGTGAAGGCGGCGGCACTGCCAACAGCCACCGAGGCGGCGCCGGACGAAGCAGAGCCCGAAGATCCAGCCTCAGGCGCTGGGGTCTCCGATGGCCCTGTCCCAGCGGTCTCGTCCGTGGGGGGCGTTTCACCGGATTCCGCAGGGGCATCGGCCCCCCCGAGTGTAGGCGGAGGAGTTCCGCCCGTGGTCGAGTCTGGGGTCGTGGCGGTGGAGTTCATCGCAGCGTTCGGGTCGGCGTTCGGGTCGGCGTTCGGGTCAGCGTTCGGGTCGGCGTTCGGGTCGGCGTTCGGGGCAGGCGTCGGGGCATTCGGGTCGGCATTCTGGTCGGCAAGAATGGCTCCGCCTGTGACCGGGGCCCCGTCAGTTCCGCCTGTGACCGGGGCCCCGTCAGTTCCGCCAGTCGCCGGAGCAGGGGTTCCACCGGCAGCCGGAGCAGGGGCTCCGCCAGTGGCCGGAGGGGTTCCGCCAGTAGTCGTCGTCGTGGTGGTCGACGATCCAGCTTCCTGTCCGTTAGCAATGGCGACGATGAGAGCAGCAGCGACGAAACCGAAGACCTTCATGGTGTACTTGGAAGTGAGTGAATGGAGAGTGGGGTGGTAGTAGCTGCTGGGCAGTTGCTGGGAAATGGGAAAATGAGGAGGAGGCTGGCGCGCGAGGCAACCGACACGCTGCGGGCGGCGGCTATCCGCTGTCCAGAGCCGTCGGGACCATCGGGTGGTCGCTTTGCTTCTCTTGCGTGCGCGACCGACGAACGAGCGTACGACACGAACGAAGAAAGGCACAGCCGGTCGTCGCCTGGTGGGCCATCGCGCGACGAGCACACGATCGATAGGACAAGGACGCATAGTGAACGCGAGAGATGGAAAGGAGACGCGTTTTTACGCCCCGCGTCCCTTGGAGCACAATATTTGGAACTGGCTCGTTTCGTCAGTTGATCGTTGCGACACGCGACCTCTGATCGATGAAGAGCGCTCGGAGGAGTAATGCAGCATCGTGATGACCAGAGCCATTGCGCTGCTCTGGCTTGCAGCCTTGCGGTAGGCGCAAAGACTCGCTCGCTGCGAACCCTAGCTCGTGGGACATTTGTCCGCTTGTATGTGTGACTTCCAGAGAGAGGGGAGAGGGGGCGGCCGGTCATGTAAGAGCGACGCCACACAGGATGACGTGAGGTCCGGCTATTCTGCGCAGGGGTTGACGGGCACGTGGTGTCGGCAACTCTGCGTAGGGGTTGACGGGCACGTGGTGTCGGCACCTTTGCGTGGTGGTCGCAATGCGTTGGCTGAATGGCGGTCGCATTGCTGTGGCTGCGGGCAAGCGGGAGGCATCTGTCGAGAAGGCCGTTGCACCTGCGCGCGATGACGGAGCGCAGCTGCACTGGCTTCTAGACCGATGCCTCCCGCTCGCTTGGGCGCCCCAGGAAGGCTACGGTCGGCTTTCCTGAGTGCGAAATCGAGTGGGAGACATCGACTTGGCAGTAAGTGCAGCAGCGGCCAAGACATACCGAACAATCGTGCGCCTGTTTGACGTGCTTGTCGAAGGATACGACCATCGCAAGAGGGTGGGTGTGGGTGCGGTTTCGGGACAGCCAGGGACGAGCGAAACAATCAAGACTCCTACCCAGACTCTACAGCGAGCACTACAAACGGGAACGCGCATTGGGTCACGAGCTTCAACAGGAGCTTGGAATGGCTCGCTTGAATCGCAGACCCGCTCAACCGAACTATACCAGGGGTGTGCGAGCACTAGGCAGCTTCTCTTCAGCGCACTGGCAGCTGATGGAAGAAGAAGGGCGAGTTTTGTTTGTGCCGTCGCGCGGTGAGCCCTTCCGAAACGAGCGACGATTGCACCGGACAAAACCCAGTGGTTTGGGCCATCTCCACGCACATTCTACGGACCGATGGTACGTGCCCTGCCAGGCTGCGTGATGAGAGCGGCCGCAACTGTCCCGTGGGAAGTCCAACCGAACTGACAACTGTGCTCTGGGGAAGAATCTCAGTATCTTGCGTTCGGGGCAAGCGGATTGCGTATTCGACTACCGAGGCCACAAGAACCAACCTGATCCCACTCGGACGCTGAAGTTGACATTGGGGTTATATATGTTGAACGGTAAGCCTCAAGGTGGCGTCGAAAGAGAGTTGAATGAATATGTGATAGGTTTATACGTGTTAACGTCGAAGAATTGTAGGAGTTTCAATTTTTTGAGCTTTCTAGCTACGAAGACCTGATAGCTAGCAAGGAGATAACGAACTTAGCAACACTCTCTATCTTGCATCTGATCGTGTGCTAGTTAGTCATTACGTTACGTAGTGACCTTCTACAGGTTATGAGCTAGCAAGGAGATAACGAAGTTAGCAACACTCTCTATCTTGCATCTGATCGTGTGCTAGTTAGTCATTACGTTACGTAGTGACCTTCTACAGGTTATGAGCCCATGGCATGGCAACACGCAGGGGCAGTGCCTCGGACGGCGTGATGGGCGCATGCGCCAGCAGTTCAAGCCACCGGCCACAAAAGTACAAGCGAGCATGACAATATTATGGATACGATCATACACGGTGTCGTCCATGCGGTGGACGCTGACAGAACCAGGAGTGACGCCGCATCAAAATTTCTTGCGGTAATGAAAGGAATAAGCGGGCGTCTGGACAGGCTTGAGGTGTCACAGGCAAGAGTAGTGGAAGGAAAGAAGGGCGTGGGCGGTACAGGGATACAAACACTGTGACTCCGCCCATGACTTTGAGTTTCGATGTGTCTGCCCTAAGAATGGGGAAATGATGCATATGGATAGCTAGGATTAAAGCTCGTTACGCTGAAAGTGACTCCGAGGAGGCCGGCAAGAAACCAAACGTATTTTGAGTTTGGACAATCCGGACATGGCGTATCAAGATTTACTGGGTTTTCTCCAGTTGCTCAACGACATGCAGCTCTTATACAGTATGTTGTTCGAAGGCCATGAGCATGCATACATGCACGATCAAGCCTAAGGACACCGGGCAAAGGAATTTGGTCGAATTACTTTTGCCCGGTGTCCTTAGGCTTGATCGTGCAGGTTTGCTTATTCGACGGACATGAGCTGTACAAAGGGCCTGTGTAACGGGGTGAGCCTCTTACATGCCATTGGCACAAAAAGTACCAATGTAATATTTTCTCATGGGCTAATATGGAACAATAGTACGCTTGCGAATCCATTGTGTTGGCACATTACCTATTGAGGTATATTTGGCATTGCTTCACAATTGATTGACATAGGACATGATGTCATTAGAATACATCACCAGTTGCTGTAAGACGCGCGCGATGAGAAAAGAGCGGGATTGTGTATTGATAGCTTGTAGTTTAACATAGCGTACGTAAGATGAAGGTTTAGGATAGGGGTTTCACTAGATCAAATACAATACAGCTTTATTTTTCTTCCCTTCTGAGCAACCTCTGCTCAGATTGTTCACTTTCTCTGCACGTACACTGTACGCGTAGTTTTAGGAACATACACCCTTGTAGTGTTACGGCACAAGGTCTTACCAGTTATCTGGTATTAACTGGGCATCATTATACATGGCACCGCTTCGTGGTCCGTTCATCGACCACGGTCGTTTCACCCAGCATGAACATGTTGGATGAGGGAGAAAGCTTACACACCACGCGTGAAAGTTACTTCCATTTGAGTGACCTCGAGTGGAATGCGGGTACACGATGTATTCTTTCCTCAGTAACATCTCCATTATCGGCATGCTACAGTCTCTTGAAAAAGGCCACATAACATGCTATTACCAGCATTTTTATCACATTACATCTTTTGCCATTATGATTAAGGCAGTCTTGCTTTGACAGCAAGATCTTAACAAGCCGCGCTGTTAAGGGAACTTGGTGCTCGATAGGTAGAGCTGTTCATTCAGCAGCAGTTTAATGCTGCAATGACGGGTAGATATATGTACGTCGACCCGGAACCTTGAAGATTGATGTACCCAAGAATAGAGGAGACGAGAATGACTTCCGGTTAAGATGGTTCGTCCAGTTGGACGACACCAAAAGAGATTGCCGCATCGTCGACGGTGTAATGCAGACTCATTCTCCCAGTCTAACTCGAGTGGACATGCGAAGACTTGGACCTTGTGGCTCCAGCTCCATGACTCATATTCGTTTGGGTCGTGTGAAATCTCTATTCTCGGCTCAGACAAACGTTTAAGCCGCCACGAGCCCAGTTATGTGTTCGTGATGACCAATTATAACTCAGATAGGGTAAACACGATGTGCGCGCTTACGCGCAGCACATCCGATACCTCACAAGTTGCATATTGCCAGCCCGATAGATCAAAACACGAGAAACACTGTGTTGATACACAGATGTACAGGTTATCCCGTCAAGACCCACCTGTTTGGATTGAAGTGCAATCACTATCTCAAAAGACCAATCGACCTCGGTGGTGGAACAAGAATCCTTTAGATTGAGACAGGATGAGATCAGTTTCGTAACTCATGTCCGGTGAGACGACAGGAAACCGGAGGCCCAAAACAATGGACCTCTGCTCCGTGGAAGGTGATGGTGCCTGTTCTCCAGAGTACAGATGATTGCAGAAATTCAATATCTTTCAAAAGACAGGGCACTACGCCAATGACTGTACTGCCTCGAACCCAGTAGAGACCGTCTATCGACCAAAAAGCCCACCCCAGGACGCGGGTCCGACGTTGTTGTGATTTCTCAACAACGGGACGGACAGTCAAAAAAATTGGGGTCAGTACGGGCGGAGAGTTCCGCTGATATAGCCACGTCAAGATAACTTGCATGCCTCTAAACGAAAGTTGTTTTTTTTACAGTCGTTGTATATTAATGCCCCTGGCGATGAGGTTTTCTTCATTACATTGAATTTCGAAGTGACAAAAGACTTTTCCCTTCAAGCCCTAGTTGACTGGAGGAGGCCTCGAACAATTTCATTTGACGTCTATAACTAGAGGATCGTAGGCTCAATTTTGTTAAGCGTAAAATCCTTCTTACGAGAATGACGGTGTGCGTTGCAACAGGCGCCTTCGTAACAGTGAAGAAACGAGTAGTAGGATCCACCACACGTTAAATGATAACCAGAACGATGACAGTTTCATTGTGCTCAGCTTATAATACAAACTCGATATCATCCTTGTTCTACCATGGCTCAGAAAATATGGGCCATGTATTTGCTGGCAGCATCGATCGTAAAGAAGCCTATCGCTTTTTTAATCTATTCGTGTCGGCCACGGTATCCAATAATGCAATCAGTATAGTAGCTCATGTATAATCCAAAAATATGCAGATGTGCATTGTGAACCGTCGAAAATATAGCATTGTAACAAGATTGACGTGGGGCACATTTGACTTTCGGATGAGTTGAGTGTACACCAGATAATACATCGAATAAAAATGCATCACAAGGAAGTAAAAGATCGAACAAATGCACCAAAAACAGCATTTATCGAAATAAATATACCACGAGATGGAGACATATTAATAACATTACGTCGTCAAAAAACATGCACTAAAATGCGATAGTTAAACGACCTACTGTACACGTGTCTAGGACCTGTCATATGT